ATCTTTTATCTGGACAACTGCAGCAGTCTCCTGATTGGTTATCCAGATGCAAACCTCTCTGCTTTAACCAACAGAAACCGGGGTGCACTAAGTTCAAACCAGAGAACAGGTACATGTATCTATGAAGATCAATAGGACTTCAATAGTTCAATGCCATGCAGTCTTAGCACCTAAGATCTCCATTTGATTAGTATTGCTTTAAGTAACATGTAAAAAACTCCTTCCAAATTCTTAAATATCAAGTTTCATAAATACTGAAAACTGTAAGTTAAAAATGAAGCACTACAATCATACATTAAAATACATGACAGCATTGTTTTAGAAAGTGCACAATTTATTACATTTATGAGTTCATAATAAAATGGATACTTAGGAACTTTAAAAATGAGTTAGAAGTAACAATTAGATGTAAAATTTTCAAATCTTGGAAACTGAAATATTAAATTCTAGAATTTTCTTAAAAACTCTTTCTTATGAAAGAGAAATTTGCATAGTTTGAAAATTATTATAGCCTTTCAAGGGAAAAAGGAGGAATTAAAAAACAGACACATTGATGAAGGCAATGAGTTCTTCTCAGCTGGTTTATTCTCCACTGAAGCTCAATATAGGATTATATTTTCTTTACTTACAGGAAGTGGTCACTGCTCTGTTTTCCAATAACCCTCAAAACAGAATAACAATGCTTACGCAAAATAACACAAGCCTTAACTATTATACTCTGCAGGCTTTACCATTTCAATACACTTCTAGTCCAACTGCTTTCCCAACTCTAAAGTTCTGTGAATGAACTATGAATATTTTTAAATATTTTCCAGATTCATCAGGGAGGCTGCTTTTCTTCTCTGCACTGTAATCACACTGAGCTGCAATTAAAATAAACAATCGGTAAGTAGTTACTTTTTCTGTGGAAAATCTTAGATTAATACAAAGTAGAATGCATCACAACCTATAAGTACTGAAAACGGTCTTATTGGAAAGGGTTTTGTAAACGATCTTTTTCTTTTTGAGGCAGTCTTGCTCTGTTGCCCAGGCTGGAGTACAGTGGTACAATCACAGCTCACTGTAGCCTTGACCTCCCAGGGTCAAGTGATCCTTCTGCTTCAACCTCTTCAGTAGTCACTTTGCCTGGTTAATTTTAATTTTTTTCAGAGACAGGGTCTCACTACATTGACCAGACCAGCCTTGAACTCCTGGGCTCAAGCAATCCACCCACCTTGGTCTCAAAGTACGGGGATTATAGGTGTAAGCCTCTGTGCCCAGTCAGTGATCATTTTTAAATTAATATCTATTTTACTCTTAAAACTTTAAAATGTCTATTACATTAGAGAAATGCAGGTCAAATAAGACATTCGATAGCTCAGGGATGATATGCTTAGAATTGTAAAACATATTCCAGATGGTTGAAACACATCTAGATAAAAGTTAATCAGGAAAGTTTCTAAAACACAAACTAATGTGAGCCAACACAATGCAAGGCTGATAATAAAGTGAAGATAGATCTTAACAAGAAAAGTCTAATAGAAAAATAATCTTTAAATGTTAGTAGGAATTGATAATATATACACATGGTAAAAAAAAAGATCTAACAGTATGAAATGGTAGACAGCATAAAGGAAGTCTCATTCCCATTGCTGTCTTTCATTCCAGACACCTCTCCAGATACAACCAGTATTTCCAGTAAAGTATGCTTCCAGAAATATTTTAAATGAGAATATATGTATTTCTTCTTTCCTTTTATTTAAAAAATGATGAAAGAATTATAAACACTTTTCATCTTGTTTTCTTTTCTTCTAAATTATCTACCTTAGAAATAGCTCTATATTAGGACTATTATACTTTATTCTTCTTAATAGCTGCAAACTATTCCTCTGTATGAATACTCCATAATTTAACTAGTCTGCTATTGTTGGGTATTTGTATGGTTTTTAATCTTTTAAAATGATAGACAACGCTTCAATCAGTATTTTTACATGTTTGCTTCCTGGCAAAAATGTTTCCAGGTGCAAGTATGGGTCAAAGGTTACATACATTTACAGTTTTTGAAAGATACTGCCAAACTGTGCTCTTATACCAACATGTGCTTATATCAATAACGTGTGAGAGTGCCAGCACAATGCATTTCCAAACTTCACGATCTGATAGGTGAAAAATGATGTGATTACAGTTTACATTTGTATTTGTCTTATAGGTGAGGGTGAACATCTTTTTAAATGTTTAAAAGCCATCTGTCCTTCTTTCTCCATAAACTTCCTTTATATATTTGTCTACTGGACTGTGGCATTTTTTGAAAACTTAGGCATCCTTCGTATGTATTTAGGGCATTAGCCTTTTGTCATATATGGTACAAATATTTTTCTCGGTTTGTCACTGACTTTATGACTTTTTCTGATACAGATATTTGAAACTGTGAACATATTTATTATTTTTTTCTTAGCTTCTAGGTTTTGTGTTCTTGCATTGAAAGGCTTCACCACACTGATTTAAAAAACTCATATGTTGAAAGACCACAGTATGGCATTCAACCATTTAGAGTGATACACTTAGAATGGATGAATAACATGTAGAGAAAGTTAATCAGAAAAGCACATTTAGAGCAAAGTGAATCAGCATGATTCAGGGCTTGTATTGAACCAGTAACACGATGCTGCACTGCACTATGGTAAGTGTGATGTGTCAGAGACGATAATAATTTTAAAATTTTTCTGCATTTTGTTAATATCATGCATTTAGTAGGATATTATTTCTAATAGCACTTTTTCAGTTTTTATAGGAAAATTAGAAGATTCAGAGAGGGCAAATATAAAAATTAAAAAAATAAAATGTACATCTTACAAACAAAGTTGATCACCTGGACTCATATAAAACAGAACAAATATTAACTCCAGGGAAGAAATTCCTTTTTGGGTAAGGGGAAAGTGCCAAATGATTACCTTCCATCTTCAAATAGGAACAGAAGGGAAGGAGACAAGCTTAGGGAAAGATTTGTTACAGAACAATTCGTGAAGTGGTTACTGACAAAACATTTTAAAAAGGTTACTTAAAAGAATGGTGGAATCTTTCCCATTGGAGAGTTTAAACAACAGAAGAAACATCAGTACTAGACTGTTTAGGTTTAATTTTTTCAGGGAGGAAACTAATCTAGATGCTAACTGGTTATATAATTAATGTCCTGTAATTGTACCGTTTTTACTATAGAACTCAAGGTAGCTGATTTTACGTAGACATTTTCTTTGCCATTTGCCTTAAAAAAGGTAAATGAGAAGCTTTAAAGATTATGATATAGAAATTTAATTTCTTATATATCCTTCTAAATATCTACTTATCACTAAGGGAAATGCTTTACATGTGTTAATTCTTTTGATCCTTTAATAACCATATGAGGGAGGTGTTATTATCCTATATTAAACATGAGGAAACTGAGGCTTAGAGAAGTTGAAATTGCCCAAAGTCACATGACTACTTAATGGCACTAAATGGCACTAAGGGATTTGCCTGACACCGAAACACATACTCTCCAGATACTGTCCAGGGCACCTAACTTCTGTTACCTTATAACTTAATATGTTCTTAAATAATTGGCTAACCCATTAGTTAATTCATAACTTCATCAGACATAAAAATTATTTGACAAGGCTGTAATTACTTTCAAGAGGGAGAGGAACAGAAGGATAAATTATTACTAAATTTTCTTTAAGTGGCATGCCATGTTCATAACAGAAGTAGATTTTAAAAAATCTGTAAATATCATGAACATAAACTGAATTCAGCAAGCAGAGTGGCTTTACTATGTATAAAATGCTGTAGTAGTTAAGAATATTAATTTTGATTGAAATAATACATTTATAAGCAAATATAATTAATAATATAGTAATTTGATTTGTTTTTATTTTCTTGCCTGCCCTATGTATCCATCCATTTCAACTGTCTGTTTCTAGTCTATCTTTATAATCACTGAACTGGTCTCATTTTGTTCCTCATAAGAGGGACTATTGCTCCTACTTTATAATCAAGGGCCCACTTCATTTATATGATGTGTGTGTATTAAGAGAAATTATCCCTTAGTATTTCATTGATATTCTGCATTTTCTACTCTATTTCCCACTGGACAACTTTTATATTGTATTTTAGATTTTTTTGGTCATATGAAAATATGCATTAAGTAAATTAACCTGTAAGCCAAGGAAATTTTTTTCCACTGAAAAGTAAAATAAAAACAAAGGCAGAGAATTTGAAATATTACTTTCAAAGCAATATTATCTACTTTCAAATCTGTTAGTGAATATCTGCCTAGTTTTAGACAGAATATAATTCCAGAGCAGTGTTGTATAACAGAACTTTTTGTTATGACAGAAATGTTCCATATCTACGCTGTCCAATGTGATAGCCCTAGCTACATACGGCTATTGAGCACTTCAAATCTGACTAGTATGACTGAGGATCTCAATTTTAAATTTTATTTAATTTAAATTAATTTAAATATAAATAGTGGCCTGTGGCTAGAGGTTATGATAGTTAAGACAGTATATTTCTTTTCTTTCTTTTTTTTTTGTTGAGACAGGGTCTCACTCTGTCCGCCAGGCTGGAGTGCAGTGGTAGAAGCATGGCTCACTGCAGCTTCGACTTCTTGGGCCCAAGCCATCCTCCTGCCTCAGCCTTCTGAGTAGTTGGAACCACAGGTATGCACCACTATACTTGGCTAATATTTAAAATTTTTTGTACAGAAAAGGTATTGCCATGTTTCACAGGCTGGTCTTGAACTCCTGGCCTCAAGTGATCCTCCTGCCTAGGCCTCCCAAATTGCTGGTGTTACAGTTGCGAACCACCACGCAGAGCTTATTTTTGTTTCCAATGTTTACTTTTTCAACCTCACATATTAAAGGGATTAATTTTAAAATATATTAATCTAGTAAAAATAAACTATTAAGTTCTCTGGGAACTTCTAAAAAACTTATCTTATCTTTGAACTGTTTACTATCTAGGGATAAGAGGATGCTCCCTACCTGCTGGGAAGCTGAAGCAGCTCTCTCTTCTGCCTGACTTAGGCGCCTCTGAAGTCTGTTGGCTTTTTCTCGATGCTCTAGAATTAGCTTTTCATTCTATTAAGGGGAAATAGAAAACAAGTTAGAAATCCATATGTGATATGGAGATGTTTTGTGGAATAATCAATGAAAAATCTGGACATCATTTTACCACTTATAAAATACAAATAATATTATCTCAAAATTTACATTTTTTCAAGTTATGAGCTTTAAAATAAAACTTAGCTTTACATTCTTAATAAATTGTTTTCTTTCTCCCACATGCCAGCAAAGAAAGTGAATTAACAAATCTCAAAGCAAAATGACTCGGAAGAATAAGACTTTCAATTTGTGAAGATCACTGCTTCAGAATCACCTGGACTGTGAAAACACAGACTGCTGGGCCTTACAACCAGAGCTTTAGTAGGGTTGGGATGAACTGTTTCTGTATGTTCCCCAAGACATCTGCATACTCCAGCGTCTATTAGGGTCAACACAGCTATTAGGTACTGTCATGGGTTAAATTGTGTCCTAACCCCCAGTACCTATGAATATGACCTTGTTTGGAAATAGAGTCCTTGCAGATGATCAAGTTGAGATGAGATCACTAGAGTGGACCATAATCCATATGACTGATGTCTTCATAAAAGGGGAAATTTGGACACAGAGACATACATGTACAAAGGAAAGACAAGTTGAACACAGAGAGAACACAATCTCCATGCCAAGGAACGTCTGAGGCTACCAGAAGCTGGGAGAAAGGCATGAAACAGATTCTCCCTCACAGCTCTCAGAAGGAACCAACAATGTCAACACCTCAATTTTGGACTTCTAGCCTCTGGAACTAAGAGACAATTATTTTCTGTTGTTTAAGGCACCCAGTTTCTAATACTTTGTTATGGCAAGAACTATACAGGCATCACGAATACAAAGCTGTCACAACATACTGTCATGCAGACAAGTCCAAATAATTTATCAATTAAAAAACGGATTAGCTATCTCCATACTTACTAGCCTGGTTATAGTACATCTGAGAAAGTATTTTTGTACAACTAGAATTGTTAAACAGTTTTTCTGGCACTTATCTGAATGAGATAATAATACAAGCCTAATCAGGAAGAGTTAGAAAGACACATTTTCTTTCTTTCTTTTTTTTTTTGAAAAACACATTTTCTATGAAGAATCAGAAACTTATAGTTCCCATGTACTAACATACAAGTGATAAGAATGAATGTTGTGGCTATGACAGTAATATAAAATATTGAAATAACAGTATCCTGCTAAAATGAGCTTATTATATTTCTTTTTTTTTTTTTTTTTTTTTTTTTTGAGACGGAGTCTCGCTGTGTCTCCCAGGCTGGAGTGCAGTGGCGTGATCTCGGCTCACTGCAAGCTCCGCCTCCCGGGTTCACGCCATTCTCCCGCCTCAGCCTCCCAAGTAGCTGAGACTACAGGCGCCCGCCACCACGCCCGGCTAGTTTTTTGTATTTTTAGTAGAGACGGGGTTTCACCATGTTAGCCAGGATAGTCTCGATCTCCTGACCTCGTGATCCACCCGCCTCGGCCTCCCAAAGTGCTGGGATTACAGGCTTGAGCCACCGCACCCGGCCATTATATTTCTTATTATGCCCAAAAGTAAAATGAAATGTTATGAAGAGAACTATATTGGCTGGTCCAATTTACCAAGATGTTTAAATCTGTAGCCTTTAAATTTTAAGAAGCACATCACATGCTAGAGAAAACATGGGGGAAAAATTCTATCATCTGTAATAATCATTTTCGTATTTATAATCAGACTTCATATAATGCAACTTCTTCTATACTGCTACCATAATGGCTGAGGAACAGTTTAGATAGGATACATCCTAATATATGCAACTGTTCCTTTTCTGTTCTCATTTTGGTTGCTTTTGATCTTCCTATATTATTAACATTACTGTACTGAATATCTTCTTTTAAATTTTTCTGTATTGTAAATTACTTCATCAGAATAGATATCTGGAAGTGGGAGCTACCTGAAAGATTATTTTAATGGCTATTCCTTAAATAATTTCTAAATGGCTCATTATCAGTTCATAATGCCATGATGCTTAGGAGTAATGATTTCACTATGGTTCCTATAGTAGACCACAAAGATGGAGTAGACCATGTACTCAGGGAAATTCCAACAAACATTTGAAGTTAGAACATCAAATGAAGATGAACATCAAATGAAGAGATCTAAAAAGCCCCAATCATAATCCAAAAATTGTTTACTTTTTGAACGCCTCAAGGAAAAAAACTTGAACTCTTGCTATATTTAGTTCTAAGTCATAAATCTAAATATATTTTAATATATTACAGTAGGCAAAAGTATTTTTTATGTGATGTGTCTTTTGGGATGGATTAAAATGAAAAAAGATGAATGGGTTAAAAAATAATTTTAGAGATGAATAAGAATAAAGGGGATCCTAATACATTCTCTGAAATACTACAAAAGTTCTATTGGTAAAACAGAAATAAGAGCTCTACCTTTTATTATTTACATATGATGAATCTGATGAATCACTGACGTTCAAAGCTTTTATTCACATTATATTGCGTGTCGGCTTTTAGGGTTATGGATGATTTCTGTATTGTTATTTCCAAGTAGAGAAATAATTTGGATTTGGCTCAGGTAAAATTCTATAACATGTGTATCAAGCTGCAGCAGAAAGCACTTCCCAGGGGAGTCATTATCTTACCTCAACTACCTTTTCATTTGCCATTTCCAGCTGAGAAAGCAGCTCTTGGGTATGAAGTTTCTGTCGACTCAACTCACTCCTATTAATCAAAAGACAGCACCAAAAAATCCATTAATATAATTGTTCCAAATAGAAAACTGAATCTTTATTAGCAAGATACATGTTCATGATTTGAACAAAAATATCATCTTCATGTGCAAAATAAAGTCACTTACTAATAGACCATACCTCAAAGGACTCATTTATTTCTTTTTAATAAAATACACATATATTCTAGAGATCAGTTGCACAACAATGTGTATATATGTAACACTATTGAATTGTACACTTAAAAATTGTTAAGGTGGTAAGTTTTATGTGTATTTTATCATAATTAAAAAAATTTTATCACAATTAAAATGGTAAATTTTATTATGTATATTTTGCCAAACTAAAAAAAACAAAATAAAAACACATATTTTAAAAGTACAAAAGTATCTTCAATATTATTTGGAGATACTATTAGACACTAAAATAAAAGCATACTCATATCAAAAAGATACAGTATTTATTACTACAAAATCTCGTAAGCTACTGTGCTTCTTAGCTATAGTATGTGTTTTTTTTTTTTTTTTTAATGAGACGGAGTCTCACTCTGTAGCCCAAACTGAAGTGCAGTGGCATGACCTTGGCTCACTGCAACCTCTGCCTCCCAGGCTCAAGTGATTCTTGTGCCTCAGCCTCCAGAGTAGCTGGGACTACAGGCATGCACCACCACGCCTGGCTAATTTTTTGTATTTTAGTAGAGATGGGTTTTCACCATGTTGCCCAGGTTGGTCTCCAACTCCTGAGCTCAAGCAACCCGCCCTCCTCGGCCTTCCAAAGTGCTGGGATTATAGGCATAAGCCACCATGCCCAGCCTTAGTATGCATTTGTAAGATTCATATACAGTGCTTTTTAGGGGAGCTCAACTCTTAGAAATTTAAGGCAACATTAATTACTCCAGTATCACTTCAGTGCGGTACAGTTAGAATTCTTATTCATGTTCTGGTTGTAAATGTACTGTATTTTACTCATTCATATCATTTATGCTTCATTACCTAAAAGTATCTTATGCACAGAACTGTCTTCTTTGTTGTTGTTCAACATATAAGTATTATACTGCTTTTAGTCAAAAGTCACTTCAAGAGTTTCAGGTTAAGGGTACATACAATGTAGCATTAAAAATAACTTAATCTGAACAAAGATCAGATAAATTTGTGAGTATTACATATAATGAATCAATGACATTCAAAGCTTTTCTTACTGTGTGTGAACTTTTAGGGTTATGGATGGTTATGGATGATTTCTGTATCATTATTTCCAAGGAGAGAATTAATTTGGATTTGGCTCAGGTGAAATTCTTGATTCAGTATTGGCTTTTAGCCTTTGACCTTATTTGTGCTTCTGAAATCAATCAACAGATTAGCTCTTCCAAAATAACTTAAGCTTTGATTTTTTTCAAAGGAGCCAGCAAACAGCCTACAAATTTGGTAAGCCTCTGAAGTGTCCTATTATTGAGTGAATAGTTGTTAAAAATAGCAAGTAATCTGTTATAAATATATAAAACAAAAAGCAATGCCATCCACTATTCAATTATACAAATAGTTACTGAACATTCGTTACAGGCCAGGTGCAAGATATGTGGTGGCAAACATAGTTGTTGTCATCATAGAACTGACAGACTACGAGGGAGATCGGTTATTCTAACTCAGTGATTTCATAAATACAGGTTCACTGACTATGAGGGGTTTGAGTATCTATCATTAATTCCATGACAGATAAAGCCAAATATATTGTTTTAGCTTTGAGTGATAATAACAAAATATAATAAATTATTATGCTTACTTTAAAGTATCTTCTGCAGCTTAAAATTATTGCCCAACCATCCCCCCAACAACATAAGAAAAAAACCAACTAAAGAATGATAAATAAAATGACTAGTGGCCAGTCTTCTAGGTCAAATGTAATTAAAGGTGAAAGTTATACATATTAGTGCTGATGAAAAAGAAATTGTGAGTATAATTTAGATTAAGATGAAACAATGATCACATTTATAAAGTTAGCCGACATTCAGTTTACACAAAACATTTCAGGGAAACACCTACTTGTATAATTTCATGCCTAAACTATTCTTCAGTTCTTACTCAAGATAATCTGAATGATGGATAGTAATAATTTTCCACAATATTTAAGATCACAAAGACATAAATCATTAAATGAAAATATACTTTAAGTTACCCTTAATCCACATAAATATTTATCTCTTTATATGTCAAGCTCTGTCTCCCCCACTGGATGGTGAGCAACTTTGTTACTCATCTTTGTACTCAACAAAGCTTGGCAAATAATAGTGAAAATGATGTGATGATGATAATAAGAGCAAACATTTCCACAGTATTTGCTTACAATGTGCCAGACACTGTTGTAGGTGCTTTCATAAACTAATTTAATATTTAGTTTGCATGACTAATATATGAAATTCTCATTTTTTTTTTTTTTGAGATGGAGTCTTGCTCTGTCGCCCAGGCTGGAGTGCAGTGGTGCCATCTCGGCTCACTGCAAGCTCTGCCTCCCAGGCTCATGCCATTCTCCTGCCTTAGCCTCCCAAGTAGCTGGGAATACAGGCGCCCACCACCACGCCCGGCTAATTTTTGTATTTTCAGTAGAGATGAGGTTTCACCGTATTAGCCAGGATGGTCTCAATCTCCTGACCTCGTGATCTGCCCTCCTCGGCCTCCCAAAGTGTTGAGATTACAGGAGTGAGCCACCACACCCAGCCCTGAAATCCCAATTTTTACATATGAGAAAATTAAAAGACAGAAATTAAAAAAATAAGTAACTTGCCTAGGATCACATAGCTTGTCAGGTTTTTTTGTTTGTTTTTTGAGACAGGGTCTCACTCTGTCACCCAGGCCAGAGTGTAGTGGCACAATCACAGCTCACTGCAGCCTCCACCTCCCAGGCTCAGGTGGTCCTCTTGCCTCAGCCTCCTGAGTAGCTGAGCCTACAGGTGCATGCCATCATGCCCGGCTAGTTTTTTTGTATTTTTTGTAGAGACAGGGTTTTGCCATATTATTGCCCAGGTTGATCTAGAACTCCTGGGCTCAAGCAGTCCTTCCACCTTGGCCTCCTGAAGTGTTAGGATTACAGGCGTGAGCCACCGCATCTGGCTACTTGTCAGCTGTAGAGTCAAGATTAAAAAAAACTTGGCCCTTTGATTCCAAAGTCTGTGCTCTTAACCACTGCCCTATACTGCAACATGGAAGGTAAATAATGAAAGTTCGTTGAATAACACACACACACACACACACACACGCAGAGAGTATATGTGTGTGTGTATGTGTATTAGGCCTTCTAGGAATATGAAAATTTATATACTTACTTGGAAACCTAACAATTAAATTTTTACTTCAGACTTCTTCCCTAAAAGTCCAGTCTTAAACTCAAACTTAACAAGCCTAATATCAAGCTTTTTGCATTGTCTCACAAATCTACTTCTCATCCTGCTGCTCAGTTTTTATACTGACATCTCCGCTCTAGGTGTCTAGGTTAAAAAGTTTAAAGTCAACTCCTATTTCTCACTTTGTCCTTCTTTTTTTTGTGAGACAGTCTCGCTCTGTCTCCCAGGCTGGAGTGCAGTGGCATGATCTCAGCTCACGGCAACCTCCACCTCCCCCGCTTCAAGTAATTCTCCTGCCCCAGCCTCACCAGTAGCTAGGATTACAGGCACCCACCACCATGCCCAACTAATTTTTGTAGTTTTAGTAGAGATGGGGTATCACCATGTTGGCCAGGCTGGTATCAAACCCCTGACCTCAGATGATCCACCCACCTCGGCCTCCCAAAGTGCTGGGATTACAGGCATGAGCCACTGCGCCCAGCTTCTCACTTTGTCTTAAATGCAACTTCTCATTTACCCTGAAAGAGACTCTCTCTTTGATAGGTCTCTTGCATCTATTTTTCATTCCTATCCAGTGTTACCATCCCAATTCAAGTTCTTAGAACTTAATTCTTAGATTTATTGTAGTAACAAGCTGCTTGGGTTTCTCAATATCAAGTGAAACAATATATGTAAAGTACTCTACCACAGGGCATATGAATGCACTCAACCGATACAGTGGGTTTCCCTCTCTAAACCATGTATCTCTAGCATATTTCTCTTTCCAAAACACCACTTTAATAATTTGCTTCCTTGAGCTATACTCTTCAATGGCTCTCAGCTATTGGACAAAATAGTCCAAATTCCTGAGAATGTCATAAGCTCCTTCAAAATTTTGTGTAACTTATCTTTCCAACCTTATCTCCAGTAGGAACCTTCCACACTTCAGTTGGGCTCTCATTGTTTCGAAAACAAACTGCATATGTATTACCTCAGGATCAGGCTTATGTCATTTTTTAGATTGTGTTTTTCAGATTTCCCATTAGAATTCTTCCCATTCTTTAAGACTGCACCCTTGTCTCCCTTCTTTTCAGGTCTCCTTTCCATTCATTTTAATCCGGACAGTTTTCTTTACACATCAAATCTTTATGATATTGAATACTTATTTTATGTATGAGAGATTTATCAATCCTGTATTATAATGCTAGTGCTTTACATATATGTACACACACATACATACATACATTCTCCTAAATGGAATAGGAATTTTTTTGTTGTTTTGAGATGGGGGTCTCACTCTATTGCCCAGGCTGGAGTGCAGTGGTATAATAATGGCTCACTGCAGCCTTGACCTTCTGGGCTCAAGTGATCCTCCCACCTCAGCCTCCCAAGCAGCTGGGACTACAGGCATGCACCACCATGCCTGGCTAATCTTATGTTTTGTAGAGATGATGTTTCATTATGTTGTTCCGGTTGGTCTCAAACTCATGGGCTCAAGACAGCCTCCCACCTCGGCTTCCCAAAGTGCTGGGATTACAGTTGTGAGCCACCATACCCAGCAGAAACTTTTAAAAGAAGAATTATTTTTAGTTGCCACAATATCTACCACACTGCTTTACACATCCAAATGGAGTCACGTATCACTTAATAATAGGAATACATTCTGAGAAATTTATCAT